CCAATGCGCCAATTTTTCTACTTAATTTGCATTAGTATCTCACTACTTTGCCATCTTCGCCAAATTCGCACCCAACTTGTCAAGGAAATGGCCATTAGCCCACGAACTCCCATTTCCAACAGGTTCTCCAGATTCACTACGTTTATAAAACATATCACATATCCAGATCGGGTACTCGGGAGCTTGTAGGCGTCGCCACTTTGACGACACTGAAAAACCTTGCGAAAAGCATTGACCCTCACCTTAAATCCAACAGGGTTTATTGTACTGAGGGAGAGAGAAGGACAACTCAACCGATGATCCAACTGTGGCTGGTACCATTTTGAGTTTTTACCCCACGGGCACTCCTATGCAGTCGTATTTTTCACCTCAACTCAGCGATGAGTATTTGAATCACGTGAGCGACAACTGTCAGAAATAATGTCGTAGGAGACCTGGAACAGCAGTCTGGCGGTCGACAGGACTGTACAAGTGATAAATACAAACGTATTGGTCCTTTAATGATGGACAGAGTGGTGGACAGTGCTTTTATGGCCAACTTTGATTGCTGGACAAGGTCTTGACCTTTTTGGCCCGCTGAAAATTGCACCACAGCCCACAACCGTGATCAAGTCTTAAGTCGACCTTCATTGCAATTTCTGTCTGCCATGATGAGCTAGGAACAGGCGGGCTCCTGAGAAGCTGTGGACAAAAACTGGTAGCAATATTTTATGGATGCAGTTCCCGATGAATGCAGATCTACTACGAGAATGATTACGAACAAAACACGAGCGCATTGTAATCCAGAAAGCTTCGACAGACTTCAAGTTCCTTCTCATATGCATGCATCCTTGCATTGTCAGGTGGTGTTAATTCAGATAACTCCGATTGAGAAACAAGGAATGTGATTCTGTTGAGGAACACAGACGCATGCCATTTAGCACGTGGAGCTAGTTGAGCATCTGAACTTCGAATATAAAACTGCCTCATGATATGCAGCCCGTGTTTCAGCATTGCCAGCAGCGTCGATCATTGATTCAAGTTTTGATGGTAGTTCTGTCTCTTGGTCGGGGATCAAGTCAACGGCAACGGTGAAAGCGTTTCAGTCTACTAGAAAACTAAATGTCGGAGCAACCAACTAAAGATTTTCCGTCGTTGCTACATTTGCAGGTGGGCACTATCTCCTCTCTGCACCGAAGGAGACTTCAGTTCTCGTTCTCTAGTTTTCCCAGAACATGATTCCGATATCGCTCGGGGGTGAATTACGAAATTCAGGGCACAAGTTCATCTTTTCCTGATGATGTTGTACGTTGAACAAATGCACAGAAGTCGGATGTCTGCAGATTCTACGAGCTTAGGCGGTTCATATGCAGCAGGAGCCAGAGTTTGCTTCTGTTTCAGAAATTCACACTGACTCTACTCCAGCTTCCAAGAGGTGGAGACTCTCAAGCTCACTGCCATCCACCTCCAGTAGTGGACGTCTTTAACAAGCCCGACTAGGAATTCTGATAGAAGACACAAGCTAGGTCGCGATCAAATTTGGCAGAGTCCATGATGCATCAACGGCAGATTTCATGTTAAGAGTCCAGTTGAGAAGATACTGTAATAAAAGAATGTAGATCCATCCATGAACTTATGCATTAGCACGTTTTCCCCTCCTCATTCCAGATCTTCTCACTGATATTCTTAGTGCGACTCGGACATTTTTCTTCAGCTCACGAAATTTGTCAAGTGAAGCACCAAATGTTTCGTTGATTTCAGCACGGAATTGTCGTCACCAGCCGAGAAGGCCCCAAATCGTAAGCAGGAGGAGAACAGTCCAGAGGCTGTGATTTAAAAAGTATCACGCTTTCAAGTGTTCAGAAAAAAGGGAGCGATGCAGTCCAGGCCTCTAGTCGAGCCAAAGCACATGCCCACAGCTATTCTAAATTGTCCATGAAGGTAATGAAGTCGAGCAGAGAGTTCAGCGATCATGGAGTCCACACATTAACATCACCACCAACACCACTTTTCAATCACATGATCGTGGATGAGCGTATAATCCTTTAGTTGCACTGGATGCAAATTTCTTTCCGCACATGCACAGCTGTATCAGCCACTTGCCTAAGGTCTTTAAACCTGTTCAGATAGCCCCTCTACAACAACGCCCTAGGCCTGCAACAGCTTTCCAAATTTCACCGTTGCTTGAGAAGCGTCTTACAGCAAAATTACATCTCAATTATCACACTGCTGGGTCATTCCACCTTCCAATATACACAACGTGATGATTTTCCAAAACGCTCTAGGTTCAGTTGAAGTCATCCCCGTTTCTGCAACAACGCGATATTTCCCCAGGGTAGCTGTGGAGGGGCGGGTCTAACTTACCCCTTGATGAGCAGCCAAACGAAGCTGCAGGAATGTAAGAGAAAAAGGCAAAGACGAAATTGAGGGAGTGAGAAAACGTGCTAGATCCACTATTAAGGAAAACAGAAAAAGGAGCGAAATACTGGTCCTTACATTTAGGAAAGTTCTGTCTAGGACAGGATTAAGTGCAGTACATATCGGAATTATTGTTAAGACCAAAAGCTCTACACAGAAGTAGTTCAATGTTCGAAATCAGATATGAAGATACAGCCATATGGCCGCTATTTATAGGCCAAGTTATGGACTTTGAGGATATTCTCGCAAGAACTAAAATGTATGAGATAAGACATCGTCGAGGATTGGTGCTTGCGAACAGAGTGAACCACTCTTATCAGAAGTATTGATAATGGTTTTGGTTTCTGTGAAACAGTGATAGACACTTAGACCGTACAGAACTCTGAAGCCTGCCTATAAAAGACGTAACTCGCCTATTCACTCCGTCCCTAGCTGTGCATATGAAATGAGATTACCGTAAAGGCTATGCGCATTGTATGGAAGCGATGCGAAGAAATAACGTGACACCTTGTGGGATATTTGTGAGTATCAATGGTTGTGCTTTGACCGCCATACTTTGGGGCCTGGGTGCGAATAATGTAATGTGTAGCTCCCTGAGCTTTAGAACCTTCTAAGAACTTCAAACAGGAGAAGGCATGTCCCTTGTAGAGCGAGAGCTTCCTGGGTCAACAAACGGTCTGCAGGAGACATGGAGTTCTTCTTGCTCACGGAAAAGCTTTGATTGTTGGTCAGCGGTGCCAGAAGGACAAGACAAACAAGCACATAAAGCTCAGTAGCCCCTCGAGACGGTACGGATATGAAACAGCTGCTTACTTTGTGACATAAGAGACCAGCTTTGTCCAACCAGTCTACGCCTCGTCTCAATCTTTTTGACTCGATGTCATGCACATAATACTCGATAATAATCCTTCAGTGATGTGAAACTCATTTTGGACCAATTGGAACTTTCCGTGCCGTAGCTTCCACTTGTGTTGGGGATTTCTTTCATGATCTTCCTCACGAGAAAACGATTCTAACGTGCACGAAAACCCCAAGACTAAGCGAATTTACTCATAAAGAAATTCATCCATCTGGGACAAGAATAAGCAGATGTACATGAGAGTCATGGAACAGCTCTACTAAGTTACTATATCACGGCATCCGCACTTGTCCCTTCACCAGTTACTTATATCAATTCTCGATCACCGTGAATTCTATAATGTGAAAGCCCTCCCTCTATCATATCCCTCATCTCAGAAAGTGAATAGCAAAGTGACTGTCGAAAAGGCAATCGGAATTTACCCCGAGTGAAATAGCTCTCTGTTGCCACCTTGCATTAAACTAGTCAACTCTTGCTTATGACATATTTCAATTGACAAGTTCTGTATATCCGAGACAGTCTAGTGAACTTGATTGAGTAGCTTTGACTTGGCACAAAATACTCCACGGCCGCTCGTTTTCGCGCTCAAATGGCTGATCCTTTCGAGATTACTTTCCAAGTGTATTCAGTCTAGCTTAAGGCAGCTCATTTGAGACTGTATGGGTTTCAGGATTTATGAAAGTGCGTTCAACAACTAGAGTCGAGTAATGCCGGTGGGTGGAAGATGACAGACCTTCGATATAAAGAAGATGGAGGAAGGAAGAAGTTGCGTTGTACATTGCATGCGCTTGACTAGATTAATAATTTCCTGGTCAGTTTCAGCCGAAACTCAGCTTATAGGCTGCCAAACTTGACGAGAGCTTCACATTTAAAAAAAAAATACAGTGACATAAATACATAGCATATGCTAACCGTCAAGATCTGTGCTGTGTCGTCTTCCCATTGTTGTGGGATCTGCTGCTGCTCAACTGTCGGCTTACATAACAGCCGCGGTTGATAATGTATCCCATAACTTTGTGGATCCCACTGGATTGGAAGTATCTTACGCACCCAGGGCACACTACAGTGGATGCAGAGAAAAGTAGATGCTACCCTTTTCAGAATGCCAACCTGGGGGTCGTAAATTTCTCAAAACTGGATGGTTGAAATTGTCTATTGAATGCATTGACTAGGCTTGTGCACCGCCTTGAGAACGTACTGCTCTTGTCATAGTTTCGACGCTATGCATTGGTCTCCAGGGTGTGCCATGTCTGTGTATACTGTAAAATAATGCGTACCTTGATGTTCAATGAACAGAATATACTGTATGAGCCTGACACTGATAAATCATGCAGGAATTAGTCTCGCAAGAGAACATACCTCGTAGTCTAAAATGCAACATAGCTCGGTCATCCTGCACCGATTCTCTGGCTCCAAGTCTCGAAATGATTCTAGGTACACGGCAAAGCAAGTACAGAGAAGGCATGGCGCAGCTGAGGCTGCTGATGCTGAAGATTTAGAGGTCAAAGAGCATCCGGTCAAAAGGGTGGAATTTCCACGAGTTTGAAATCACGTCATCCAGGACATCCACTATATTGTCCTCTTCTAAGTTGTCAGGAGATGAATATAATGCTGATTCCTTTGTTTGCGGTTGCGAAACAAAGGCATCGGACTGGCGGAGCAAGACATATTCTGTAGCCTGATTGGCCTCCTCCTCGGAGGGAGGGAGGGAGGATGCGGGACGTCGCCCATTTCAAGCGTTGGCCATCATCATCATCATCCGCCATCTCAGAGTTCCGAAGCCTGTCCTCTGTCAAACTGCTCGTGCAAACTAGGAGCTTAGGCTAGCAGCGCTGTCGACACACAGAGCTGCTCGTTCTATGAATGCCTCGACGTCTAAAAGAGAGAATATGTATTATCTTAGGCTGAGCACCATACAGTAGGCAGATGAACAACCTCCAGGGACATGACTGGTTTTTGCAAGAAACACGTGTCTAACGCGCCACTTGAGGTGGAATCTCTTGGTCCGAGACGCTGACTTCGGAATCCACAACTTGACAAAGGTGGGATGCAGGAAGTACGGTTCTAGTACTTGCGAAGCTTGAGCTCCTATATACATTATAAATATGCGTGAACGTAGAGCCTTCGGAGGCCAATTTGGCACTAAAGTTGACTCTGAATCCGAATTGTGTGCCTGTCTTGGAAGCAACGAGGCGAAGGGAGGCATGCCGCATGTACTGTCCGATGCTCTTGCAGATCCAACGCGAGCTGCAGCTGAGCACTGGTGCAAGAATGATAAATCCAAGAATGTGCCGCCGGTGATTGACATGGGCGGCCTCAAGGGCCTTGATCGAGACCGGGTCAATCGAGAAATCGCAGACGCTTGTGCCAACTGGGGATTCTTCCAGGTGATCAACCACGGCGTCGATGTGTCGTTGATGAGGAAGTCGAAGGAGGTGGCAATGGAATTCTTCCAGTTGCCCATAGAGGAGAAAATGAAATTCACCAGGGATCCTGGATCCAATGTCTACGAAGGTTACCATCATCCTGTACTGAGTGGGCAGGTGGCTCCGGGGATGACGCAGACTCTGGAATACCTCCTTAATGTTTACGAGCCAAACTTGCAGATACACAGGGATCGTGTTCCGACGACCCCTACGACATACGGGTTAGATTCCTGCCGTCCCTGCCAAAGTCTGTCCTCCGAATTCTGTCACCATGCATTGCATGGTTCCGACACTTCACTCTCCGTGTGATTCTGTTTCTCGTGCAGCTGGAATTTATACCATTCTACTTCGATCGACTGCTTTACCGTAGTACAGCTGTGGATGGCCATGGGACCTGTTCTTCTCGTTTAAGTCCAGTCCAGGCTGGGCGACTGAACCTCCAGTAGCTCAGAGGTCCGAAGCTCATGAAGCTGAAAGGAACAACCTCGGACAATATCAGAGATTTATCTGAAGCTTTCTTCGATTCTCAAGCAGGTTTTGTTGTTGGGATTGTGATCTGACGAGCTAGAGCTTACTGGATGTCTTGAGAATTCTTACTAGGAGTGAAGTCCGTCAGCTCGATGCGGCTGTCAATGAGAATGAGCGAGTCTCAGAAGAGACGAACAGTCGTCGTCGTCGTTCCCGTTGGTTTTGTTGAAGTTCAAGGACTAAACGAGCACTCTGTCGTGCATTGGTGATAGGCCAACGATAGCCGAGTATACGACGGCAACGCGGGGTTTGGCTGAGCGAATTTTGCATCGCATGTCGAACGCGCTGGGTGTTGATCAGGACGCCATGTACTCACGTCTCGCTGCACCAACCGGATCCAGGAGCACATTTCGCCTCCTCTACTATGAACCCAAAATGGCAATCGACAATGTAGCACTGATGCCTCACACTGACCCCGGTGCCTTAACCTTAGTCCTTTCGGATGAGGTGAGCGGCCTTCAGGTCAAGAAAGGAAATCAATGGCTGGACATCGACCCTGTTCCCGACGCCTTCATTGTCAATGTGGGCGACATGGCTGAGGTTAGCTCCTCCTCACACTTCATTTCCTGAGCGGAGTCCATGGTCCATCGTTCCAGACAAAGTCGTAAGCCCAGAAATCTCAACACGACAGGGCAATAAGACGAATTGTCATGTCGTCTCGAGTTTCTATTCTTCTCAGACTTCGATTGCAGCGCCATTATCGATTTAGAAAAGTAACATCCGCGACACCAAAATAGCAAAGTTTCTTTCCATAAATGTATGAACGTCCAGGATCATGTAGATGAAGCAAATAAAGTAGAACGACAGGGTAAGGAGGAGCACTCGAAAACCACTACACGAGCTGCGTGCCAGGAGATTGATGTTTGCATGTCTCATAACAAACACACGATTCAATAATGCATGTCAGGACCTTCAAGTTACAGTGTGTACCATTCGATCTATTGAGGTGGAACAAGCTCTGGGGATTCATATGATGCTTGCGACCTGCGGTGCGAGTGAGGAAACTCTTCAATTCAGACAAAGTTCAGTTCTAAGTGAACCTCTGTTGGTATGATTGCAGGTTTTGAGCAATGGCAGATACAGAAGTGCAGAGCACAGAGGCGTATATAACAAATCGAAACCGAGAGTGTCCCTCATCCACTTTTACTCTCCTGATTTGGATGCAACGCTAGGTCCTCTAGAGGATATTGTGGATGATACGCATCCTGCAGTGTTCAAGTCCTTCACTTACAAGGACTACCATACCACCTTCGTCACAATGGGTCTTTCTGGCAAGAGCTGTATCGAGACCTTTCGGATTCAGAAGTAGATCTTGATGCAGAGTCTCCCAATTAGAAATCTATGATCTTCCCTGCTACATCTTCGGTATCGAAACCCGTAGCATGTGCAAATGTTGAAATTTTCTCCGCTGTAATATAAATAAGGACGGTTATTTCACAGCAATTCACTAAGTTTTTCTGTTTGATCAATCGATGCTCGATCCTGGCTCTTGGTAGCAGGCCTATCCTTTCTTCTCATGTTTAAGTCAAGGCTTCACGTTACGTACTGTGGAAAATGACTCGCAAAAGAGACCAATCGAGGACCTCGTGCAAGCACAGGCGCAAGCCGTCGTCGTTGGTCTTGGATTAAATTCAACAAGTCTACCTCAGAACCATATCTCGTGACTCATTTAAGCTCGAGTCTTCCCAAGAATAATGCCAATCAAATCACAGGAATCGAAGATCCGAAATTTAAACCTCCCACTCCCATAATCTGCATAGCTACTTCTTCAAAAGCACACTTTCTTGACGTTGTTTGTGGAAATGGGCGATTGTGCACTGACTTACAGAGCTTAAGGTCAGCAGTTTAAGATAATTACGACAGCATACAAGCATGAAAGAACAAGGCATGATGACGGTATCCGAAGTAGCACTTGACACTGTCACAGCACATTGAATTACCTCTACCTCATTCTTTACTTTGAGTGGAAAGCGTTGATCACATGCATGAATATCAGTTGACCAGTATTATAAATGGATAAAGTAGTGGAGTTCTCCCCTATCCATCTCACTCCACCCAGGCTGATGCGCCTGAGTGAAGCCATCTGAGCTGAGTGCTTCTTTGGGTAGTCAACGACCCACCACTCAAGAAGGACACATGTTTAGAGCTAATTTGTTGTCTAGCTCTAAGCAGACTTCTAGAGATCTAGAGCCGTAGGTGTAGCTCCGATCGGTGGGCTCGATCTTCTTCCTTCCTTCCGTACTCCGATAAAGGCTCTCCATTCGAAGCATATTCTGTTCCCACGAGAGCTGTCCCAAAATGGCAGGCAAGATTGACGACTGAAGCAACAGAGTGGAAAGCATTTATCTATCACATGCTCTTTCGTCACGACCGGCTGACGACATCATTTTCTCAGATTCATGTCATTCGGCACGAACTCAAGCTGCCGTGACCATTCAGGGCCATGTCACTCAAGTGTCTCATTGACTCACGTCAGGTGTCTCAATAAATTACCTCCGAACATGTGGGAGTGTACTTCTGCCTGTGATCCACAAACCACGGATACTCATTGGTCGAGATTTCATAAGATCGTTGGTCTCTACGCGCACACCACAAGCTACACATGTCCATCAGCTGCTTCGTTTCACAATACTCTGGTTCCAAATTAAATCTGTGATGCGCGTTAAACACATCCTTCTCATGGCGCCTCGAGTCCATCGAAAATCTGGAGCTGTTGGAGAAGACAAAACCATCTCCCGGCCCATCTTGAATAACGCATGTACAGCTCGTCGTCACGGGTGTACCCCACCTAGGCCGAAGATCGGCGGTTATCATGTGTATGATGAGACGTGCAAAGTCACCTCAGTCGACTGCCTTGCTTTTGAAGTTGGCCGTCCCACTTTCGCAGAAAGCGGTACTCTCAACTTTTGAAGAGTGGACCTGCTACACTTTGAAATCGTTTTTCTTCTTAGTATCATCAGTAAGCAACAGATGGCAGCTTTATCCGAACGCAATGATGGCTCAGGAACAAGCCGTTCCTGAGCGAGGCGAAGGGAAATAACATGGCATTGTTTGGAAGTTTGGACTTAATCCCGAACAAATTTGGACAAATGCTTCGTCTAGACAGAATTCGAATTCCCATTTCTGTTTAATCCCGAAGTTCTGAACATATTCGATCCAATGTGCGCTTCTATGCGCGAGCTAGACTCCGACATGGAGCTCTAGTAGTAGAGATTCTTCTATTCTGCTCAAAATTCATGTCATATGGGAGGATCGACCTGGCCTTGTTCTTTTATGCCCTGATATTGTAATGCGAATCGTTCATAGTTGTATTCACCATCGACGCGATTGTCGCCTCGCTATCTGATACTCAACGTGCAAGATTGCTTACGGGGTCAACAAATGCTTCGTCCAGACAGAATTCGAATTTGTATTATTTTCACCAGTTGCAGCGGAGCTCCTTGCAGCACAAACGAAAATAGAGCACAAATTTAAAGTTTAAGACATAAAGCGGCTTGACTGTCTCGTGGGTCTGGTAAGGAGTGGCTTACACGACATGAGATTTCAGTTAACAAACTACGAAACAATCCATCGTTTGCATCAACGAATGACATTCGTGAATGCCAGGAATAAAGGCCAGAATCTCATCTCATCCCAACCCTTGTAATAAACACAAACCTCGCGATTCCACAGGCTGTTCAATCTGCACAGACTTGCGTCCAACAGCCTAGTGATTCTTCTCAGATCTCGGAGGGAGAGATTGAGTCATGCTGCCCACGTGAAAAGAGCGTTGAAAGTGCGAATCGTGTCTTGCGAGTTCCAGTGCGCACAGTAAGCAAGGCTCACGGAGCTCGGCCCGAGACGCGCGCAGCGGAAGGTCAAGGCCTCTCGAGCCCCACAACGAGGGAACACAAGGCCAGCGCAGTGCAGGTCAACCTGACTGTGTCTGTCCGTCTGGATAAAGGCTGTCTCTCAACCTTGAAAACAGGGCCGGTCCATTACCGTTAAACACACACTGACTCACGGAGTTCAATCCATCAGAGAAGACAGGTCCAAAGTGCGCACAGTGGTTGTTTTTATTGCCTTTCATATGTGCTCGGTCCATGTGTTCAAATGTTCATTATTGTGTTTTCATGAATCATAGAGATGCAGCCTTCGGTGTATAGGTAGTTAGAGCTGGTGGAAAGTTCCAGATTTCTCTCTTCACTGCTGTTGGCGCCTTCAGAAGACCCAGAGCCTGACTAGTGCTACTTTGAACTCAAATGTCAATATTGAGACTGGGAAAACGTAAAGGATGACGTAACATCATCTAAACACATTAAACCTCTCGTGAAAGCCATGGGAGTGTTTCTAGATGAATAATATACTCATACATAATATGAATTCAATGCAGATTTTCTACACAATTTGCTTTTAAATTAGTCTTTTTTAAAATTCTTAGAATGATTTTGGTATCAAAATGATGAAAATATTCAAAAGTGATCAAAACTCAACTATTATTGTCTCAAATGCCCAAATTGCAAATAGCTGTATATACAATTGATCATATTGTACATACAACTGTCTTAAATATTCTAATTCAAACTTAAAAGCTGATAAAAATCATAAAGCAATAGTTGCAAAGTTTTGCAAAGTTGAAAGTGCTCTAAACACAACTCTTTCAACTTTGTTGCAAGTGATTGTTTGACTATTGCAATAAAGTAAGACACGAGACATCAACTGATTGATAAAAGACAAATAATGAACTTAAAAGATGGTAATTGTATCTCATGAGTTATTTTTTCTCTAAGATCAATGACAAGATCATCATATGCATAAATGAGATCTTGTACCTTTGTCGTCAAATCATTCATCTTGAAGCTCATCAGCTTCAAGGAGGCATATAAGCTGTTTGACGGTTCTTTGCAATGAAATCGTCACACAAAAATCTCAAACAGTAGAGTAAATTTATTACACTCATTCACTTGCATTAGTAGCAAAGATTGAAATATGGCATTATTCATAGTTTTTTTTGGATGGCTTTCCAGTTGTTGTTATAAACGCAAGATTTTTGAGCTCAACTTCTTGCAAAGACCCATGATCTTTAGCTTGCCCTTCACTTGTCTCTCTTAGAGCAAATCATCACTAGGTACTTTGTATTTGACTAATTCATATACGAAGAATGTTTCTTGCACACTGAGAGTTAGTGACGATCTCGCTTTGTTCAATACTTAGAGTTGTAGTGAAAAATACTACTTTTTCATCCATTTATTACTCTTGTTAATTTTTTCAAGTTAAATCTTCTTTTCCACACTCAACATGGCAAAAACTTATCAATAGTGGCACATATTGATCGTCATCGTTTTTATTCGACCAAGTAACACAATCATTTCAAAGCTGTGTAGATCTCCGAACTATAGACCTTTAGCTGACAGAATGACAGCTATCAAGATGAAGACCAAGATGGTCACCACAAATTTTTGCTCGATCATTTCGCCCGATCAAACTATTGCTGCTCTTGAACTGGAATCCCCATCCATATCAACTCAGCTCTACCACTATTAAAGACGACGGACGATGCATCCGCAAGGGATGAAATCGCACCGTTGTTCAATTTCACCCGAACTCCGTCATTGCAACTCAAACTTAGAAATTTGACTCTGATTTTATCCACTTGCACAACCAATTAAATCCACCATCAAAGACGCTTGTTATTCTACTTTGTTTTCCGCTTAGTCAAGACCTGTAGACTTCTTTTGGACAAACTAAGTACTTTAGTTTCGTGTCCCTTTACCTCCAAATTGCCTCGCCTCGATCAAGCAACGAGAATATAACGCTCTCCGTGAAGGTAGCGAGGTGCGTTATTAAGTGCAAGAACACCATTTGCACCATCACAAGAACAAGCCAAGAACAAGGACAAATTACAAGAGACAAATATTTGTCCATATATGAAAAACACAAGCTAAGACTCTTGTGTTTTTCTTTGAGATCTCGAACGGCCGGTAGGACAATCGGCAGATGCAAATCACACAAAAAATGCATAGGCATCCATGCTGATTCCTCGTCCAACTTTTGATGATTACAATATCTATCAGAGTGTCGCTTACACGCTACCATTCTGTAAATGATAGAAATGTATTTCTTTCATTGATGATTTCATAAGATTCATTCTGCAAATCAACTCAAAATATTATGTCAATTATGAAATCAAATATTAACTTGCAAATTAAGTATATGAAAACTTCACTGTTGAGATACATCTGCATAAGAGTGAAAGTTAACCATTGGATAACATGCATGGTTTCCATGGATAACTTATTTTTCTTACGTGTATTCCTGCCAATAATGTCAGGAAATACTTTTTTTGATAAAAGAAATTTAACTGAATTTCTCCCCATATGATTATATGAAATAACCTCAATATATTACCACTAAATCTAGGAATTTCCTCTAAGGAACAGATTTTTAATAATCAGTTTGGGAA